CTAGCAAATTAATGTAGAAGTTGACAAAACTGAATTCTATTCTATTATGGCCAATAATGGGGGCATTGTTATGTGCCAGCCCCCTCACTACAAAAAGGTGAGCTCCCAGCAGACATTTGTCAGTGTGTATTGGAGTTGTATAAGGAGAGCTGGCAGTCTGTGTAAGGATAATTAGTTGTTATATGGTGGTATACTGTACTATATTAAGCTAAACTACTGTGAATGGCAGTGTGGTGGGCTACATGTTCTTGTGTACCCACTCCATTTTTACAGTACACTCCTTTTTTTTTCCACTCCTTTTTAGAACTACCTTTTTGTGTGTGTCAGCAACAACTGTTTAGCTGCTGCTCCTTACCTTCTTTATAAAAAATGTCAGGCAGGCCTAAACTGAGAGGCAGAAATTCTACATATGGCGGTGGTAGGTGTCAAGCATGTTCTGCAGAACAAAGCATTGGTCAGCACACATCATGTAGAGGCATGGCACATCTGCCTTTTCTATCTCAAAGTGCACATGCTGTATAGCATGTACAGGAGGTAGTTGAGTGGCTGACAAAGCAAAAGCCATTCTGCTTCCTTCTCCTCCGAGGCACGGTCACTCAGTTGACTGTAACTGCTGCTAATATGCCCTGTTCTCCTCTTCTGCTAATCCCACTATGGCCCAAAAACTGGCAAAGAGGGGTCAGCAGAAATATTTAAACAACAATCACTGACGTGCTCCAGGAGAATCATTTTGGTCAGGTGCACGCATTTCTCTTTTCATATTGAGGATGAGAAAGATAGCACCATGGCCATAGAGGAAGTGGAGTAGCAAGAGGCAGTTATGTTCCAGCAGCTGGAGCTTCAGGGTGAGGAGGGGGTGGATGATGACGTTGCACACTCATGGGTGCCACTGATTCAAAAGGAAGAAAGTTCTGAGAAAGAGACTGAGCGGCAATGGAAGATTATGTGCAGGACAGGAGGAGCTAGCCAAAGACTGGAAGGATCAGCTATCTTCATCTATATGGGGGCACCACCACACTAGTACAGGTTACTGCTATCTCCAGGGCCCACCTATAGAGATCTGCAGTACAGGCCTTTTTTAACATATTGTGATGTTTGGGGATATTAGCACATATGGTGAGCATTTTAAGGACACAGTTCACTGGCAATATCTTCTTTTTAAGGGCTAGGTATTTAAACGAAAGTTCACACATCCACATAGGATACTTCACAGGGGTTGTTTAGTACATCATCCATGCACTGCTTGCAAAACAACAAAAGTATAGCCTCCCGGCTTCCACTGTCAACATTAATAATTCTGACCCAACAGTCCTCTCTGTAGTGCTGTCCGGCACTTGTACTGGCAGTCCCTTAGGCTCTCAGCTCTCCCAACCTCACCTATTCTCACAGCCTCTCACCACCTGACTTCACTCTGACTTTTGGGAAAGTCCTCCTGACTCCTGAACACCGTCTGTTCCTTTTCCCCAGCAGGAGCTGATTCCCCTAGTTAGCGCCCTTTCCTTAAGGGCTTTGCACAGCAGTGCAATCATTGGGTGTTGGTTACTGCTAAACCCTGGACCCAGGAGTGAACATTTCTTCCCTCCTGAGACTCTTTGTAACCTCCTGGTTCCAGGATTCCAAGCAGAATCCAGAACATCCATAGAGAACTGAAAAGACAGCTCTTTCCCTGAAAAAAACTCTTGCCTCCTGACACCTCTACCACAATATCTACTGCTGACAGCACTGTTGTGGACTGCAACGTTTGTCTGCAGTGTATCAGTTGAGGTAAATATTAAAACCATTTACGGCAAACATTTAATAAAACAAAGGGAGCATCATAGCAATGAGACAAGTAGACAACAAAAGGCCCACTCTCCTCCTCATTCTCATTTTCTGCATCTCCTCCTCCATAACCTTCTCCTGCTGCATCCATAGCAACATCTGCGATCTTTAGTGACAGGGAGGAAGGTATTGCAAGGTGTTTCAAAGGCCTAGGATACACCACGTGAAGCAGGGTATATAATCATTGGACCATGTTTAGGTGGGGCAAGCTAAGGTTTGAACCTCTGCAGCATTCTCCTACACCCACATCAGCATCTTCAGCAGCAACCCCCCAGAACAGGTGTCTCTTAAGCTGCAACTGGAAAGGAAGAAATAAATTCCCCAAATTACCCCCATGCCCTGCATCTTAATGGCAACTTGTCAAACTGTTGACTTTGCAGTTACTTCCATTCCAGATCATGGAATAAACCCCCTTCTGCAAGTCTATATCTTGTGCTATAGCACAGTGGCAGATACCCAGCCGCCATTATTTTGGCTTGAAGGGTATCCCTACCCACCACCATTATGTGGAAAGTAATGTGCCTGTACCACTGGACTACACTGTCAGGGTACATTTGACTATTGGCATTGGTCCAGTAAGCATGGGCATGTATGCTAAATATTTGCCACTGTACACAGGGTCACTCTTCTGGTGGCTGGGAAGGATGCAGGATGCAGAACACCCTGAAGCCACAGCATTTACCTGTACCCTTGCCTCCTCACTGGCCTCATCCTCCAACTCCTCGGAACCAGAAATCCCTCCAAGCACCTGAGAGCATATGCAACATCCCAAGCTAAATGCTGCCATGCTGTGTTGGAGCTCTTATGCCTGAGGACAGGAGCCACAGTGGGCCAGAGCTGCTGGCATCTCTCCTGGCCCAGACTAAGAGGTGGCTGACCCCACACATTTTCAAGCAGGCAAGGTTATGTGTGACAAAGGCACCAACCTGCTGGCCGCCCTTCATCTGGTAAAGTCACAAATGTACCTTGCCTGGCAAATGTCCCTAATCTGGTACATTATCATGAAGTACCCTAGCTTCCAGGAAGTCCTTTGTCAGGTCAGGAGGTGTTTGTTGTGACCACTTTAGGAGAAGGGTCCACCCCTCTCTTGAATCGAACCTGGGCAGGTTCGCCTATCCCTAGTTCTGGGTATACAGGAGAAAAAGACACATGCTCTTTATTAGCTCAGCCATATTTGCTTTAGTAATCCTAGTGGTGACAAAAAGATTCCCGCCTGCATGAGTGGCATCAAGTCAGGCACACAGCACTGCAGACTGGCAGTCTGAGCATTTCACAATGGTCTCTCGTGACTGAGGACAAATACAGGCTTATTTGTTACACACTGCAAGGAGCAAAGAACACTGTCAAATGGAGTAACCCACAACAACCAAAACCAAATGTATTAACTGAATGCTGACTGATATTTAATGGAATCTATTTGTTTGCTGTGATTACTGTACTTTGCTTCTTGAACTGCTTTACCGAATATGCTAAAGTGAATTAAAAGGAGAGAACCAGTACAAAAACTCACTTCCAGTGAACGTTTATGTAATAGCTAGTCTTCCAGGTTCTCACGTATGAGAGTACACACAGACACACTGTCAATCTCCCAAGAATGATTCAGAGACATGAACTTGACAGTATGAATTTACATGCAGGATGCCTCATAACAAAAATGATTATGTAACGGCACAGGTAGATCAAATATACGTAGCTTGCTGACAAACTAAATCAATTGCAAAGTGGCAAACCAGCCTGCTTTTTCTTACATCTACAGGGGGTTATTCACAAATCTACTGAAGGCAGCCGAATGTATAACTCAGCCCAACTGAAGTGAGCCGAAATACTTTCGGCTATTCACTTCTGGCTTGTACGGCTCACTTCGGTCAGCAGAACATACTCTGCATTTTACATAGGGGCTGAATGGCAGTGAGTGAATAGGCGAATGCCGCCAAGCTGTTCGCCCCGCTTCGGCACTCACTTTGGCTCAGTCGAGCCGTAGAATATGCCTTCGGCTCGGCTAAGCCGCTCGGTCATCTTTGGCTGCTGCACGGGCTATTGTGAATAGCCCATACAGCAGCCCTTCAGTTCGACTGAACTGAAGGGCTGCGGCGGCTGAAGAGAGCCAAAGGATCACCCGAAGCTTGGGCTCGATCCTTTTTGCTCCTTTGTGCATAGCCCCCTTAGTTTTTTGGTTACTTGTGGAACCTGGTTTGCTGAGTCGACTCCTGACATCTGACAATTCTTTCATTCTCTCTAGTATAATGGTCGGTGTCTCTGTCTCTATCACCACCAACAACAACCCGCCCAGAATGTCTGCTGGAAAGTAACTTACCTTTCCCCTCCAGCAGGTGTGCTCTGCTCCTGCCTTCTCTTCAGTGCTTTTGCAGGGGAAAAAAAGCTCTGCCCCTGAAGAAAAAAAACCTTCCTGCACATACGTACTTAGGAAGATACCAATTGCACAAGGGGGGGGCCGGGCCCCCACAGCCGCCTGAGCCCCTCACATGAGTACTGGCTGTCCCCTCTGATGGTGGCTCAGAAACAAGGGGGGGGGGGGGCGGGACCCCTTTATAAAGATCAGAGCAGGTGTGTGTATCTAGGAATGCAGTTGCTGACATCTCACCAATACAGTCCCTGAAAGGTATGAGAAGTCAGCAGTTTTAACCCTGGAGACTCTACTGAAATAATATTTTTGATGGAGCCACCCTTTAAAGTGGTTCTGTAAAAAAAAGCTCTTGATATATACTTCACCAGTGGGTTGCAACTTCTCACTTTACTCTCTTCAAGAGCTATAGCTTCAAGAAGGATCTGCCACTTCTGTGGTCCCATCTTCTGGGCGCTACATCACTGCAGGACATAGTGGGTGACATGGGGATGACATGAGGAACCACAGCACATATCACTCTGGTGAGCAGCAAATCCTCACTTCACTCTCCTGAAGAGCAAAATCTTCATTGTCCATCGTGTGTCATTTTTAGATGTGGCAGTGTGGGGGCAGACATCAGACACACCTAAAAGTGTGAAGATTCTGCTGAAGGTCCTAGCTCTTGAAGAGAATGAAGTGAGGACTTGCTGTCCACCAGAGAGATAAGTATTAAGTCTTCTTTTGCATATTGTCTTCTCTTCTTCATTTAAAAAAATTATTGAGATAAACGAATAACACACATTTCTTACGTTGATTCTCTTTCAGCTCCAAGGAAATGATGGATGATGATGATGACAGGAAAAGATATGAGGATGAGGAAGGTAAGTGAAAAGTTTGTGCTTTGTGTTTGCATTGTTGTAGTGGGTTTTTATTACTTGAAGGCAAATTTACAAAACATGTCTCTATAGACTACCACTCCATCTACATTGGTGTGCCAGCACCGAGGAGCTACAGAAGGAAAAGGCGCCGAAGAAGGTCCTTGTCAAGCCGGGATCGAAGCAGTGAAAACGAGAAGCATTATGGAAAAGATGACCATTCTGAAACAGACGAGGGTGGAAGGCTCAGCTACGATAATGAGAATTATAACATCAGCAGAACTGGTAAGCGTTTCATTATTACACAACTATACAAAGATTTGTATAGACAGAAAATAAATTCTGAGCGTGTATTAGGGCTGTTATGTAGCATTAGGGGACATTTATAACATTTGTGTAATTTGAAATCTGAGCAGTTTCTGCATTTCAGATATTTTTTTCGGATATATTTGTGTTTTTTTGTATGTGATATACATATCATTTTATACAACATATATGTTTATTTTGATTGAACTGCACAGGTGGATCAGGTTTATGCCTACCAAAGTTTTATACATTCTTAACGCAATGGAGCTGATTTACGAAATACAGATGGCTCAATTAATAAAGAAAATGTTCATTTAACTTACCCAAATAAAGCTGTGTTTACGCTGAATACGCAGTAATGAGCAAGAGGGAATTTAAAAAAAACAGGATTTTTGCTTAGTGTGATTAGGTAATTAAAGTGAACAGAGCTTCACCTTATTTACTGAGCCAAGTGATAATTCACATTGATAAGTGAATAGTCTCAAACCCTATTTTTATTATACCTATTAAGAAAGCTAAAGAGCTAAATATAAGATGCAGAAATCTATAGCAATCAGTCAGCATTTATCGTTTGCAGTTTTAACCTATTAAGGTAAGTGAAAAAGAAGTAGGCTACAAGCTGCTGCAGTTTCCACACAACCAGTGGTCTTTGCGCTGCATTTTTACACGGGCCTGTTTGTTTAAAGACCGAAATCTATGCTGGTGATGATCCGGAAGGATTACAGTGCTTCCTTACTGACCTTAGGCTATATAACACTTGGTTTTCAGTCTCCCCTGAACAGCAACACTCTGTGGAGGCAGGGCCAACATTAGGTACCAGGAAGCATACTGGCAGGGGTAGAAAGCATGAGAATTACTTCACCAGTGAGCTACTGCTCCTTCATTGTCCATTTAGCAGGCTGGGGGGAGCAAGGGGGGTTACCACGCTGTGGGATGTGGTGATTGAGATCTGGTTTGGTGTCCAGCAGAGGTGCCTACATTACAAAAATGACAGCACAGAATGACAAATTGTTTGGCAGGCGAAACAGTTACTATATATAATATTGTATCTCCCTACTCAAGTAGTGTTTCAAGGTTTGCAATTGCTAATGCCTGTTACTTTTGGTGGTAACACACCAGATAATATCAAATACTGAACTTTCAGTGTTGGGAGGAAATATACAAAGGCTGTACAGCGGCTGACATTCTTATTTTATACATGGCACCAATCTGGGCTTTGACAATGTGCTCTCCTTCCGAGCCCACTGCGATCACACCTATTCACTCTAAGTCATGAGAGGGAAGTTTCAGAACACAGAAACAAGTAACAAGAGGCTGAAAGTACTCTGTGGAAATCTTTAACACATGATATGCCACTCCAGATGAGACCAGGTTGCACTCTCCCCATGCAAAGCCCATGTGCTGGCTCAACTTGTCCCCAGCACAACAATCAAGATTAATAGTATTAAGAACACTGCACACCGAGATGCAAAGTAATTACTTCTTTATTTATAGCCAACAGGAACTTGCTCTTATTATGATGCATTTCGCACTAGGCACATTGGTTCCTGAAAGAATTGAAATCACTCCTAAAAGTCATGTGGAAACCTGATGGATGTGACTGCAAGGGATAATATACATATAATATTGAAAGAGAACTAAGTGGCCTTTATGATTTCTTAGAATGTTTCCCAGATAGAATTAGCAGCCTTGAGTTGATTTGTCAAGTAAACAAGTCACAAAACCAAAAAGTCAAACTGAGCATATGATGTAAAATACTGTATGTGTAAAAGGATAAAAGGGTGTAAATTATGCCGTTATCAATCGTTCCTGAAGTCAACATTGGGCCGAATACTTCCTTTTCCTGAGTTTTGCTATTGGTCAATAGGACTGCCAATCACATTAAAGGACTGGTAGGAAGGCTTGGAAAATGGCAGGGGTTGAACCAAGCTTAACTTTACAGGAATGCTGAAATTTGCATAAAAACTGCCTATATCTCTAGATCTATTGAATGATTCAACATGCAGTTTACTGAAGATGAGCTCTGCTTTATTTCATTTATGCTCAGTTTGAATTGCCCACATTTGTGACATGTTTACTTTGAAAAGACTAAATTATAACTACAAATGAAAATATGCAACATCCCCTCATTATATCTAGAGACTTTCCCAGCATCCTAATTCAAATGTGATCTAGGTGATCCAATTATACCCTCTCTTATAACATCTCCGTCATTCCTGTCATTCCTTTCCCTCTATAACTAGCAGTGCTTTGCATAGGGACAGTAGAGAATATGTTTTGGTATAAAGTATGGCATGCTATAGCTAGCTGGCCAACTCATAATGTCAAACCCAGCTTTAGCCGTAAACAAGATTGCTCGGGTCGTGTGAGCGTCCCTACTGAGGTGAGGCTGGCATTAGTCAGTTTCTGTGCCAGCATGCCAATGGTGAAATAGTGGCCATCAGATAATGTTTCTAACCTGTGTGATCGCTTCCAGCTCAAAGACGTCAACCAAGGCCATCTGAAGCTGCCTATAGACACCAGATTGTCTTTTGATTTGGCCATGTCATCTGTCATTTCATTCATGTGGTCTCCTTTTTTTCTCTATGTTTTGTGGACCCTACTACATAGCTAAATTGGACATAACGGGGTTGATTTACTAAAGTCAAATACTCTGTTCACTTTCCAATGGAATTTTTACTTTGTAAGAGGATTTTCTATTAGCTTAGTGAATGAGGTGACAATTCACTTTGCATAGAACACCCAATCACATGTAAGGGGGAAAAAACAGCACTTTTGGATTATTGGATTGGGTTATGGAATTCAGCATAACTTCACCTCATTCACAAAGCTAACGGAAAATTCCTTTACAAAATAAAAATTCCTTGCAAAGTGAACACCCTATTTGCCTATAGTAACTGAAACCCAACACCTCCTCTCACGCCTGCATTGTCTTAATTACAGCCATAGCGGACCAAATGACTGCTATGGGGCCCAAATACAGTCTTTTTACCCAGTGAGTTGTCTAGGTAGCAATGGCAGATCTGCCATGTACTGTAAGTTGATCAGATAACCATGAGAGCAATCACTGTGCAATAAGATTGTTGGTATTGAATAGCACAAATGGAGGGATTGCCTTTCATGCTGGATTTTGGAACACCAGGGGTCCCCTGGATTTTGCTGTAGTACCCCTTCATATATAGCTATCCAACTACAATCCTGTAGTATTAGGTACTGTATGAGGGTATCAGTCATACCTAGAACATTATCTTCCCAATATATGAATATGGTGGAAATAATGACCATGATTCTTCATACCTAGGACATGTAATACAGTATAGGTATATTGGATTAGAAGTGGTCAGTGGCCATGCTTTGCAGAGCACGCTGTGACCTCACACACTGTAAGCCCCTGTCCGTTGTAAAGCACTCGAAATTCTGTAATCTGTTCATTAAGCTGTGTAGCTGAAGTAGAGAAACTTCAGTCAGCAGAGAAGAGGACAGGGGCGAACGCCATGCAGTCTCCATCTCCAGGTAGGACATAAGGGCTTACACTTTAATAGTACAGAGATCTGAGAGGTCGTTGTACTTTCCCTCCAACTCTATTCCCTCAACTCCATACATTTCAGACATTCAAACTGTCATTAACTTTTTTATGTTATCTCAAAACTATTATGAAGCCTAACTCACATTCATTCTGACCTGTTTCCAAATTTCAATCCATTCACAGCACATAATAGCTTCTGAAGGCACGCAGATCTGCCCCATCTTGCTTTGGCAGTTCTTTACAGTAAGGCATGCTGGGACTTGTGATTATTGGCCAATATTAGGGCTGCTGTTGTTCAAATGTACAATTCTTTAGATCTGATATTAGTTTTACAGATAATTGATCTGCTATATTTTTTATTTAATGAGATTCTGATAATAGTCAATAAAAGTCATACCTTTCATGGAAGTGATTGAAAACTGCAAGCTATTAAGACAATTGTAACTCAAACTCTAAATTTTAAAGTGTTTCTTCTGCTTTTTTTTCCCACTAATTAACACTCGGCTATGACAATGGGAAAATTAGTAAAATGTCCCTATTCTAAGTTTTGTCATTCAGATTGATGATTTATGATTGTCTAAAGAATCTTTATTGAACCTGGAAAGTTCACCATAAGAATTTGCTCATCAACTAAAAGACTGATCAATTAAAGGAAAGGAATTTAAACTCATGTCTATCTTTGTCTTAAATGCCCAATAAGGTTACAGGGATATAAAAAAATAGGAATTTCCATTGAAAAGAAATTTAATATTTAAAGTAAACATCACTCAAGTGTCATCTGGTGCATTCTCTAGATGTAAATTTACTAAACGTCTGCAGTTTGTCCCAAAACTGTGAATTTTAGCTATAAATAGCACAATTCTGTAAACACAATAAGCAAAAATAATTAGGAAAACCGTTTTTTAATTGAGATATTGGTCATTGCAATGTGTAGTAAAGTAGACTCCTAAAGATCACTTGCTATAAAACGGATGAACCCCTTATAAAAATGTTATCTGCCTGGTTATTTCTTGATTCAATACATTAAGCAATTCAAGACATATATATATATATATACATATATAGGAGTTTGCATGTTCTCCCTCTGCTTGTGTGGGTTTCCTCCGGGTACTTTGGTTTCCTCCCACACTCCAAAGGCATGCTGGTAGGTTAATAGGCTCCTGTCTAAATTGGGCCTCATATGTGTGCATGTGAGATAGAGATCTTAGATTGTAAGCTCCTTGAGGGCAGGGACTGATGTGAATGTGCACTATGTAAAAGCACCGCGTAAATTGTTGGCGCCATAAAACTACCTCTAATAAATAAATCTAAATGTGAAGTTTCTCAACAATTTTACCATTGAGTTTTTTGCTTAGTACAAACTTGCAAGACAAGAGTTCAGATTTTTCTGACTTGGCAGGATGCATAAATGCTCCAGGTCAGTGCCTGACTAGGTTGTAAAGCCAGGAACGAG